GAGATCCCATCCAGCTCTCAAATTCTGTGATTCTGCGATAAAATCTGGAAATCATCCAAAGGAGTAAAAGAAGATAGAATAAGAAGAAAAAAAGGACCAAATTATTTTGTGGGAAATTACAACTGGATGAAAGACTTGGCTCTCTCTCTCTCTGTCTCTCTGTCTGTCTGTCTCTCTGTCAGAAGTGAATAGCTCCCTGAAACAGATGCCTGAGTAGTAAGTAAGCGGTAGATAAAACCTTGCTTTCTCATCATGGCATGTAGATGAAAATATACTAGTGATAGAATATTCTGGCAGTTTCTATCAAAGTGGAAAGATTTGAATTGAACCCATTGATGAACTGTATCTGTATCTGAGAACCCAAATTCCTAAGTTTGGAGATATTTTTGGCTGCAGCAACTCAAGGCGACAGCCTATTAAGGCATATGGGGCTGTGACCCACACTGATAGAGGAAGCAGCCAGATCTGTGAAATCAGGGATCCTTGCAGTACTGTTGTTTGTTGTTTGGTTATTTTTCAGTTGTGTCTGGCTCTTCAAGGTTAAGCTACTTGACCAGGGTCATAGAGCTAGTCAGTGTCTGAGGCCAGATTTGAACTGAGGGAGATGTGTCTTCTTGACTCCATGCTCAGCACTGTATCCACTGCTGCACCAAGCTGTCCCTTGAAGTACTGAAGCACAACCACATGTACTGTATGAGAGCCGTAGCCCCCCCACAAGAGTATGTCAGGGGCAATGCAGTCAAGACAGGATGGAAAAAACACAAACACACAGTCATGGAATAAAGAGAAGGAACAGAATTACATAGATGAAGTTGACTCTCATAAGAGGCAGTGTGGCCCAGTAGAATGAATGCTGGCTCTAGAGTCAGGACCTAAATTCAAATTCTACCTCTAAAGCTTGCTACCTGCAGGACCATGGTCAAATCCCCTTAACTTGCCTTGCCTTAGTTTCTTCATCTGTAAAATGAGGGAGTTGGATCATATGGACTTTGAGATTCCTTCCAGATCCAGATCTATGATCATCAGTCAATACTTCCCACTCCTATAAGCCAATAATGATCATCAGCAGGCACATCTTCCTCATTGTATTTGGTCTAGCCATTGGGCAGGTATGTAGTTGAACAAACCTTATGTGTGAGCCACGGTGAGACTGTCCAAAGCAGCATTTGAACAAGGAACCTCTTTACCCGTAGTGTTGGGATTCTGTCCTTCTTGGTATGGCTGTATAACTGGGTAGGTTTTCCTTGGAATGTACTCATTCAATCAGTGCCCAGGGAGCTCTATTTAAATTGTGTATCCTTTGACAATGAGGACCCCTTGGAAGACAACTTATTGGTCTATATCTATCTTTGAGTAGTAAGAGGGAGTGAGAAAACTTGGGAAAGTGCTGCGATCCAGTTAGTTACCAGGGAGATCCATTGTTTATGAAATCTTGCTCCAGACTTGACCTAGTCAGCTCTTCTCTGAATAAATAGGTAACTCCAATCCTAGTTCTACCTTATGACATCTAAAAGCAAAATTAAATGTGTTCGCACTCATGCTGCTGATTAATTCACTTAATTATTAGTACATCAGAAATCCCAGAATATGTATCTTAATAAATATTCACAGGGGCATCTAGGTGGCACAGTGGATATAGTACCAGCCCTGCAGTCAGGAGGACCTGAGTTCAAATCCAGCCTCAGACAAGTAATACTTACTAGCTATGTGACTCTGGGCAAGTCACTTAACCCCAATTGCATCACTCAAATAAATAAATAAACAAACAAACAAACAAATAAATAAATGTGCGCTTGTATTCTGAGGTGGTCATACCAAATCAAAGATTCTTACCCTGATTCAGTAGGAAGCTCATATCTTGCTAACTATGCAAAAGATGCTATCTATACCTAAGGAGTGATGAAGGGAGGATTGGGCACACCGACAGAATCCTCTTCTCTTTATCCAGCTGGCACAGCCGAGAAGCAAATGTACCTTCCACCCCGGGCCCTCCTGGACCCCCTTTCTTCCAGGGTTTCTAGACTTGATTTAAAGCATTAAGTTTTGAAAGGTCAATCTATTCACCTGGGGTCTACTGAAAGCACATTCCTGAAAGGAAAGAAAGGTTTTCTCATTTCACCAAAGTGTCTCCTGATCTATTACAAGGGCAATGATGTTGATTGTCCCCCTTTATCAATCACCACTAGGCTTTTCCATCCACCCTACAGATGAACTTTCTAAAATATGCTGTCTCTCCCTATTCATATGTGAGCTCCTAAAGAACAAACAGGGACCTTTTTCCTTTTTCCATTTGTATCCTCACAGAGTTATTTACTTTCTACGTATGCCACACGCGCGCACACGCACACACACACACACACATTTGTACTATGTTCTTGGCTTACCTATTAAAATGTAATCCCTGCAAGTATGGATAATTTCATTCTTTGTACTTATATCTCCAGGGCCAAGAGCATAGGAATTACTTAATAATAAGAGCATTTATGAAGCACTTTAAACTTTGTAAATGCTTTCCAAAGATTATCTCATTTTTCCTTACAACAATCTTGGGAGGCAGATGCAATTATTATTTGTATTTTGTAGATGAGAAAACTGAAACAGAGAGAGACTATGATTTCTCCAGGGTAACAATAAGTGTCTAAAGTCAGATAAGAGTCTGAGGTAAGATTTGAACTCATCTGTCCTATCTGTAGGTCCAGTATTTGAAGTTCATGGCCCCAAAGAAGAGATATGAGAAGATAGCCTCATCCTACTCCATAGTGTAAGTGAGAGGTCCATGAGCAGAGAACATTGCCTATATTTTCAGAATTTTTAGGTGCATTAATTGGTTTGGCTGATTTTTCCTCTTCCTTTTTTCCCTTTTTTTCTTTAAAAAAAAAATTCAGTTAGTCAATAAGTATTAAGTGCCTACTATGTGCCAGTCACTGTGCAAAGTGCTGGGAATACAAAAAGAGGCAAAAGAATTCACAATCTAATGGGGGACCCAACAGGCAAGCAAATATATACAAACAAGCTGTATAAAAGACAAATAGGAAATAATTAACAGAGCAAAGGCACTAGAACTAAGAGGAATTAGAACAGCCTTCCTGTAGAAGACAGGATTTTAGCTGGGACTTGAAGGAAATCAGGAAAGCCAGGAGGCAGAGATGAGGGAGAGCTTTCTGGGCATGGGGAACTATCAAAGAAAATGGCTGGAGTCAAGAGATGGGGTGTCTTGGTCATGCAACAACCAGGAGGCCAGTGTCACTGGATCAAAGATATGTGGAAGGGAATAAGGTGAAGAAGACTAGAAAGAAGAGGAGGGAGGTGGCACAGAGGAATGGATTCTAAAGGGTTTTGAGCTTCAAACAAAGGGTTTTATATTTGATCCTGGAGGTCATAAGGAGCTATTGGGATTTATTGAGCAGGGAGGGAGGTGACATGGTTAGACCTATGCTTTAAGAAAAATCACTGGCAGTTTACTGGAGGATAGAATGGAGTGAGGTGTGGTACTATGTCTATATCTAATCCTTATCAAGAAAAGCTTTGCAGACTACTCATTAGACATTCACAGCTTTGTGAAACAACCATGTCTTTGAATTTACCCCTCTCCCAAACAGCCTGCCTTGTATGCCAAAAAGCATAACCACCAGTTGTGAACTGATTCAACCATTCTGAGAGCAATTTGGAACTATGCCCAAAGGGCTATAAAACTGGGCATACAAAAAAAAACTGGGCATACCCTTTGATCCAGCAATACCATTGCTAGGTCTATATCCCAAAGACATCATAACAAAGGGAAAAGAACCTACATGTGCAAAAGTACTTCTAGCAGCTCTTTTTATGGTGGCCAAGAATTGGAAATTGAGGGGATGCCCATCAGTTGGGGAATGGCTGAGCAAATTGTAGTATATGAGTGCAATGGAATACTCTTGTTCTATAAGAAATGATGAGCAGGAAAATTGCAGGAAAACCTGGAAAGACTTACATGAACTGATGTTAAGTGAAGTGAACAGAACCAGGAGAACATTGTACACAGGAACAGCAACATTGTGTGATGATCAACATTGATGAACTCGGCTCTTCACAGCAATGCAATGATCTAAGATAATTCTAAAAGACTCAAAATGGAAAGTGCTATCTACATCCAGAGAAAGAACTAGGGAGTCGGAACAGAGATCAAAGCATACTATTTTCACTTTCATTTTCTTTCTTGTGGTTTTTCCCTTTTGTGCTGATTCTTCTTTCACAACATGACCAATGTGGAAATATGTTTAATATGATTATACATGTACATTGTACATCAGATTACCATCTTGGGGAGGGGAAAGGAAAGGGAAGGAGGAGAAAAAAATTTGGAACTCAAAATCTTATAAAAGTGAATGTTGAAAACTAAAATAATTAATTAATCAATTTTTAAGTAGCAACAAAAAAGCATGACCGCCAAGCAAAAAGTTCCTAATTTACTATAACACTTGTGATGTATGTATCTATCACATAATAGCATCATACTATCAAGACAGCACAGACTATTATAAGCCAGCTTCTTAACACACTAGCTTGCTTCTCTTTCTTCATCTTCTGGTTGGCCTGATGAATAGCTAATGTTGTTACTTACTACAACTATGTCTCATTCTCTTTGTTCTCAAAGGTTAAATAGTAATGGAAGACAATTGCAATGATCCAGTGATTCCATTCCATAATGGAAAGCTGCTTCATATCCTAGGCTAGATCTGGGGCCCTCCTCCAGGTCCTCTGTCTCTCTAATTCTGCCACCTCTAGACTGGAATTAAATATTCTATTGCCCAGGGAAGCTGAGATGCAAGTGTTATACATGGCTACAAATATTTGCCTGATACTTAAAGGAGATGCTTTGTGTTTAGAGAATAGGATATATCCCTCAGGGAAATGGATATCCTTCACAGACAGAGCCCCAGTTTGGATTATGGTGAGGATGATGGTGATGGTGAGGGAAGTAACTTTTTTCTCTCTTCCCTAAATCCTTCCCCACTACCAGGGAATAAGACAGGACTTGTTATGATGGGGGGAAATCACCAGATCTAGAACCAGAAGACCTAGGCTCAGGTTCTAATTCTAATTGCCTTTGGCAAGTCATTTCACCTTTCTGGTCTCAGTGTCCTCAGCTGTAAAAGGGAGAGAATGCTTGTCGCACTGCGTGCCATGTGAGAAAATTGTTTTATAAACCATAATGCACCAGAGAAATGTGTGCTGTCATCGTTGTCATTAGCTCATGGGGAAGTATCTATCAGCCACCATGCTTGGCTCAGGGCATATGGGGGGGGGGCCTCCCTCAGTCTTCTCCTACCGAACAGTAGATGAAGAAAGAGGTGAGAATGAACACTCCAGTTGACTTAGTGGGGTCCTCCCTGTGGGGAAAAAAAAGATCTTTAGTTTAGCCAAAGCCTTCTCCCCACACCAGTTTCCTAACATCTGAAAGTAGAAGTTGGGAGGAGCATGAAAGCAGGGTTTGAGAATTTCACAAAAACACATGCACACACCCATGCCATCTGTTCTCCTTAAAGAGTGACTTCTCCTTCCCCATATTCACCAGCTCATATAACATTTAAGTCAAAAGGAGGAAAATAAGAAAAGACAATCAATTTGATGAAAATGTTAAGAGGTCATCTCATCCAGCCTCTTGCCTTTAGCAATGAATTTTTTTGTAATCTCTCTCCTCTCCGCCAGTAAAGACCTCTCTGCACATATCAGGTAGATCAAGAGAACTCAGTTTCCAAAAAACTTCCCTGAGAACTCTCTCCAAAAATTCCCTCAGCCCTTTGACCCCTGTCAGGACCAATAACTTCTCCTTCCCATTCACCATCTGCCCTCCCTGTTCCCTGGCCACCCCACGCACCTGTCTTCTTCTTTTTCCGTGTGATAAAAGCTGCCAATGAGCTCAGCACAAGGATAGCAACTGCTGTGGTAACCAGGGCTACGGCCCAGAGACTTCCCCTGCTTGTCTCTCCAGGGACTATAGGGGGTAAAGGGTACTAGGTAAATGGTAGGAGGAGAAAATGGAAGAATGAAGGAGATTCTCCATGGAAATGAGAGGTGACACCATGGGGAGCTCTGTCCACTGACAGCTTATGGTCCAACATGTCTTCCCATGATCCATTTCAGGAAAGTTGGAGGGAGAAGAACTGTGTCCTTAGTCCCTCTACAGTGGTCTCATGGCCTGGATATAGTTCTAGATTGCTTTTGAAGGATTGTCCCATCTTGGATCTCAACCCCCGATTAAATACTAGAAGGACCAGAGTTTAAGAATACCTTGAAGGACCAACTGCATCAGTTGACAATGTATTTTAAACATCCATAAGGCGAAGAAAATACAGATACAGATAGTTCCTGATCAGTGTGAGCAAGAATCCTCTGAGGTGATCACATGTATCCAAATTCAAACTATTGGAAGCTATAATTACGTAAAATGTGGTCATTGGTTCCAGCCCAATAGAAACATGCAGTACAAATTCAAATTATACAACCACCTCAGGAGATTTATTACTCACACTAATTGTAACCTAGTTGTAGGATGCAATTTTTTATTTCAAAGGAAAATTATAATAAAATTTTGAGTCAGTTGCTGCACTTAATCCTTCTGGTGTTCAAAAGGGATAGGGGTGTCTGCATGGAATTCAAGGAATTCTGGGTGTTACCCTGCCCCTCCTGAGGAAAACTCACCAGGATACACAGTTGGCTTCTCCAGCTCACTATGCTCAACCAGGCAGGCATAACCTTTTCCTGTATCCCCTGGTGGCAATTCCAAAGTAACATGGAGGTAGTAGGTGGCATCAGCATTGGGCAAGGTGCCACTGGAGCTCTCTTGCCCCCAGGCACCCAGCTGCCCATCCTTCTCCCAGCGCAGAAGGATGGAACGAGGGTAGAAACCCATGGCCGAGCAGGAGAAGATGATGCTGCCGTTGGAAGTGTGATGGCGGGATACAGTCACTTCAGGGGGTGCTGGGAAGAGAAATGCAAGAACAGTCTGCTATTCTCTTTGCCTCACTGCCTTCCCCTTCCCCTCTATCCCTGTTCCTCATTCTCACTGCCATAGACAACTGGGACAGTCTATAAGAGCACCACAGGACCTGAGCTATAGAAGTTCACCACTTACCATCCACCCCATAGAAAGAGTTAACAGGGCAGCCAGAAGGTCATGTTCAAGATCATATATCATTTTACCTAGATTTCATGGGCATTTCAAACATCTCCATTATGATTATCATACATTTGTCCCACCTCTGGCAACCCATAAGAAAAACCTCAAACTTAGTCCATTCACATACAGAATCTATTTCTCTTTCTCTCTCCCTTCAAATTCAAATCTAATTTCTCCTAAAATGGCATCCAGATCATCTTCCCCCAGAGCTCCCCCTGGGCTACACACCTAGCCTTCTGCTATTCACAAGACATGTCCCTGTTTTCATATGTGTTACTCTTATTCATATGACTCCAATGGGCCCTTCAATCTCCATGTCATCCCTAAGTTTATAGAACAGGGATGATCACAATTATTATTAGTATTACAATTATAATAACTTTTATTTAGCAGCGCTTTATACATATTATGCCATTTGATCCTCACAATAACCCTGTTAAGTGCTATTATTATCCCCATTTTGCAAATGAGTAAACTGACTCTTAAAGACTTGTCCCTAGTCACACAGCTTGTAAGAGTCTGAGGCAGGATTCAGACTCAGGTCTTCCTGAATATGTCACCTTGTTCAGCACTTTCTCCACTTCAGTACCTACAATAATTGTCCCATTTTTAAAATTTGGGTGCTAAGACGCAGTGACTTTACGTGACTCATTCAAAGGCACACAGCTAGTTGGCATCTGCAAGACCATAACCCAGGACTCATGACTCCCACCTTGGAGTTGTGACAGCTCCATAAGGGAGAAGTAAGAAGGTACCAAGGACTTACTTTTTTCCTTCAGGTGCACAATTTGCAAGAGAATCTTTAGGAAAAAGGGACAATCCACTTTCATTGCCTTGTCCCAGAAGGCATCCTTCCAATATGGACAGAAATCCTCAGCCTCTTTTGTTATGACTATCCATTGTCCTTGCTTCATATCCAGGTGGCAGATATCTTCACCATCAAAGGCAACACCCAATCGGCTATTCACAAGGATGCCCCTGTCAGTCTCACAGCTCATAAGAGCCTGCCCTGTGTGGGTCCCTGTTGGGGACAAGGGAAAGGAAGAGGGAAGAGATGGGACTGGGCTTCATGCATCCATCCATCCATCCATGCATGCATCCAACCATTCATTCAGCAAGCATTTTTAAGCAGTTACGGTGGGCAGAACTCTATTTTAAGTGCTAGGGGAAATACAGAGCACCATTCCTACCCTCTTAGAGTCCACTGCCTAAGAGGAGGATAACTATTATACACAACAATCAAAGATAATTAGGAGAGAGAAATGATGATGTTTTATGTGAGATCAGAGAATGGAAGTTGCTACCAACTGATGGGATCAGGAAAGACTTCCTAGACATGATGACATTTCATTTGGGCTTTAAAGGATGGGTAAGAATTCAACAAGAAAAGAAGGGGAAGTACAGGGTACAAAGATAAGAAATCACAGTCTGTGCTCAGGGGACAAAGCCTAGTCCCATCAAGCTGGAGAACAGAGTTAAAAGAAGTAATATGAGGCAAGATTGAAAATGTAAGTGGCCACCAGATTGTGGAGGGCTCTGAATGCCGGGGGGGGGGGGCAGGGAAATAGTTTAAACCTCACTCAATCAACAAAGTTAAGTGTCGAAGGAGGAGGGAACCAGTGTTATTTCTTCTTTGCCAGAGTGGCAAGAGTGAACAGCAGTGACCTGACACAGTGGGCACTCAATTCTATGGCCTGATCTCCTGGGAATGAACCTGGGAAGAGAAGAGCAAACAGGAGAAGGGACCAAAGTGACAAGGGCAGAAAGGCCAGCAGAGCTAACTCACCCTCGGTCCAGTTGTAATACTTCATCCTGTCCTTGAGGATCTGATGGACCTCCACCTCTAATCCCAACAGTTCTTCTCGGTTCTGCCGGACCAGAAAGTTCTGCATGGGTGCATTGACTCTATCCAACTTAGAGATCAGATCCTTACTGAGACTGTCATAGGAGACTATCAGATGGTCATCCAAGCAGACATTGAGGAAGATGTGTGGAGGGCTCCCAGGAGAGGTCATCACAGTTAACTGTATCTCCAGGCTGTGAAGCTCTGAAGGGGGAGGGGCAGAGGAGAGTGGTATTTGGTCAAGGTGAATAAGAAACTTCATTTTAACTCAACATTTATTAAATGTCTACTATGTACCAACATGTTAAAGAGATTTTTTTAAAAAGGCAAAGTTAGAAGCAGCGTGCCATAATAATAGCTAGCATGTATATAGCACTTTAATGTTTACAATGTGATTTACAAAAAGTATCTCATTTGATTTTCACAATGATCTTGGGAGGCAGTTGCTATTATCATCCCCATTTTATAGATGATAAAACCTAAGCAAAGACAGGTTAAGTGCCTTGTTCAGAGTCACGCAGCTAGAAAGTGTCTGAGGCTGTATTTGAACTCAAGATTTCCTGGTTTGGTTTTTTTCTCCAATGTTCTATCCACTATGCCACCTAACATAGTGGAAAGAGAACCAGCCTCGGAGTCACAAAGACCTGGATTCAAGATATGCACTAGCTCCATGAGCCTGAGCCTCATACAGTCAACCTCTCAGAAGCCCCCGGGCTACTCTCAAGATTTAAATTAAAAAGCAGGTGTTAGCAAAGGAAATTTCTTCACTGGGAATTCAAAGACTAATGAAATCAGAGGTACAGTTAAAAAAATCTATGTGCCAGGCACTTTGCTAGATGCTAAGAAAACAAGGACAAAAATAGCAATCCCCAACTTCCAGGAGCCTGTTTTCTCATTGAGAAATACAACAAGGAAAGAGAACTAACAAGGGAGGGGACAATGAAAGCTTCCTGCAGGTTGGAACACCTCCCTTCCACCCCACTTTTAATGAGAAAACTCATTGGTAGAGACCAATGCAGCTTGGCACCTTCTCTGAAACGTTTGGTCTTCTTGAGCTGCTTAGAACTGTAGGAGGTTACATGACTCACCCAGGGTCACGCAACTAGTGCCAGGCACCGTGCTAAGCCTGGGGATACAGAGAAAGGTAAAAGACAGTCCCTGCTCTCAAGGAGTTTACCGTCAAAGGGGGAAGACAATGTGCAAACAAGAAATATACGGGATAAATTGGAGCTAATCAACCGAGATGGCACTAAGGTGGATGGGACAAAGCTTCTGGTAGAATCACTGGAACTTCAAAAAAGCAAAAATGACACATTTCCTGCCCTCAAGAAGCTTACACTCTATTAACAGCTCTCATTTCTATACTGTTTTCAGGTTTACAAAACACTTTCCTCACAGCCACCCTGAGAATCTGGTGGTGCTGATATCGCTAACCCCATTCTCCATATGGGGAAAGTGGGGCTCGAGAAGGTTCAATGACTTGCTTAGGGTCACAAGACTATCAGATATCTGAGGAAGGATTTGGAGCCTAGACTTTTGTCTCCAGGTCCTGATCTCTTTTCACTATACAGGCATATCTCATTTTATTGTGCCTAACTTTATTGCTGTTTACAGATAGCACATTTTTTACAAATAGAAAATTTGCGGCAACCCTTCATCAAGCAAGTCCATTGGCACCATTTTTCCAACAGCATATGCTCACATCATGTCTCTGTCACATTTTGGTAATTCTCACAATATTTCAAACTTTGTTGTTATCATCATATCTATGACAGTGATCTGTGATCAGGGATCTTTGATGTTACTATCGCAATTATTTTGAGGCGCTGCAAAATGCACCCTTATAAGAGAGTGAACTTAATGATAAATGTTATGTATGTTCTGACTAATCCAATGACCAATCATTTCTCCCATCTCTCTCCCTCTCTCTAAGCCTCCCTATTCCCTACAACACGCCAATATTGAAGAATATTTACATAAACTTAGTTAATAAAGAAGCAGCGGAGTTTGAGAGAATTGACCCCAATTTTGAAAGAAGTTCTGCTATGGGTAAAATATCATCAAACAGCATCAGATGCTACAGAGAAATCTATTGCAAAAGGCAGAATCAATGAATGTGGCAAACTTCATGTCATCTTATTTTAAGAAATTGCCTAGCGCCCCAACCTTCAGCGACCATCACCCTAATCAGTCAGCAGCCATCAACACTAAGACAAGATCTTCACCAGAAAAAAGATTATGACTTGCTGAAGGCTCAGGTGATGGTCAGCAATTTTTAGCAATAAAGAATTTTAATTAAAGTATATATATATATATATATATACACACACCTAATATATATATATTATACCTATATATATATATATTTATACCTGAATGTATATATATATATTATACCTAAATATGTATTATACATATATATTTAGGCATGATACTGTTGCACTTTTAATAGATTACAGTATAGTGTAAACAGTATAGCACTGGGAAACCAAAAAGCTGGTGTGATTCACTTTATTGTGATATTTGCTTTATTGAGCTGGTCTGGAACCAAACCCAAAATCTCTCTGAGGTATGCCTGTACTATCCTGTATTCCTAGTGCATGTCCTACAAGGCTTCAACCCAAAAGAGTGATTCAAAAGGGGATGCAACAATGCCTCTCTCTCTCTCTCTCTCTGAAGAATAGGATAATGTTCTCTATTTTACTGAAGAGGAAAATGAAACTCAGAGGAGTTAAGTGACTTGCCCCTGGTCACACAGTTAGCAAATGTCAGAGATGGGATTTGAATTCAACTCTTTCACCACTCACTGTGTGGCCCTTCTCTGGAGAGGAAGGCTGGAAGGAAGAAATGCCCTTTGGTTTGAACAAATTGAAGGCTTGAGATGAGGCTTCCCCTGACAGTACAAGGTGGAACACACCAAATCTGACCCCTGATACCTGCTCTGCTGTTCACAACACTGGAAACACATACACACTCACACACACTCCCATATACACACACATACATACACACATTCACATATATACACATGCACACACACACACACACTCACAGAAACAACTACTTATAGCAAGTGCTGCTGGGGAGGAAAAGTTTGGTTGAGAAGAGCCAGCCCCACCTCCTCTCTGAAAAAGGGAGGACCTGTTTCTTTCCAGACAATGTCTATCTCCCTGTCACTACCATCAGCCTAGCCTGTGCATAACCTTCTTTTCGCTAAGGCCCTTTCCTCTCCCCAACCTCCTTCTCTACATCAGAGAGATTGCCTAAAGTGCCCATGTTTAACCAATCACACCTCATTACCCTCAGGTCCCATGCTTCCCTTCTTTGCTTTTTTCAGGGCCTTATTAGCAGTTATTGACAAAGTCACAAATATCCTTGGGCCAGTATTAGGACAGGTTCCTAACTATGTCCACGGATTGAAATCTCTGACATATTTAAAAAAAAAAAACCTCTGTGTGCACAAGCTGGCCACTGGCTTCCCCCCTACATTGGCTCTCTCTGGACGCAATTAATGACATATGCTCAAAACCAAGAAAAATTTATCTTATCTAGAGAAAGCTGACTTTTAAGTCTTATTATCCTCTCTCTTAGTTCCATCTCAGACTCCCCATTTGTGTTTTAGTGTTCACTTGTTTGTCCATCTCTACTTATGCTCCACTCATCTACCTTTGTGTCTCCCACTTTTGAGTACTTTAAAATATCCAGCTTAGTTAAAGGGGTGGGAATGAAAGCCCTGCCCTTCAGCTTAGAGTCTGCATAGTTTGATCTCTCCCCAGTGCTATGAAAACCACACTGGATACCTCCTCTTGTACTTCCAGAATGGTGCATTATGAATCGAGGTGGTATGATGAGGTGGCCAGCTAGGTGGTGTAATAGATAGACAGCCAGGCCTTGAGTCAGGATGACTCATTTTCCTGGGTTCAAATCTAGCCTCAGACACTTAAAAGCTGTGTGATTCTGGACAAATTTAATCCTGTTTGCCTTGGTTTCCTCATCTGTAAAGTGAGCTGGAGAGAGAAATGGCAAACCACTCCAGTATTTTTACCAAGAAAACCCAAAATAAGGTCAATGAAGAATCAGGAACAACTGAAAAAATGACTAAACCACAAGTGTGATCAGGGGCTAGGAAAATTCCATACGCAAGACTCAGCATTATTTTTGACTCAACTGCAGCTATGCTTTTCTCCACCCATTGGTTCATTTCCTCTCTCCACTATGCCCTAGGATGGATAAAAGGTTTTTCCAACTACTAAAGAGGAAGCTAGATTTGAACATCATTTGTATTAAAATCTGGACAAGTTTGAAATCCATATTCTGTAACTTTTCTCTGGTTGGAAGAGAGAGGGACCTTAGAAGTCATTTACTCCAATCACTCATTTTACAGTTGACGAAACTGAGTCCCTAACAGGTCAAGTGACCTGCCTAAATTTAAACTGAGGTCTTCTGACTCCTCTGACTCCAAATCTAGTGTTCTTTCCTCTTCATTAGGTTACCTCTCAAAGGGGATCTCTGATAAGAGAAGGGAGGACCCAGACATTAAGGCAAAGGAAGAAAGTTTGAAGAATAACAGGCTTTAGAAAATCTACGCATTGGGGAAAGAAGGATGTTCATCCCAGAGACAGGGAAACTTAGCAGAACCACAGTCACTGTCTTCAAAAATGGGAAAGTCTGCTGCACGGAAAAGAACCATACTTTTTGAAGACAACACAGAGAAATGGAAAGAGCTCTCAGTTTGGGGCAAGATGACCTGGATCTCACAGACAGTGAGCTCTCCCTCCCCTGGGGACTCCAACAGAAGGTAGATGCCCATGTGTCTGGTGGGTTGTGGAAGAGAGCCTTTTTAAAGTATAAGTTGGAGCAAATGGTGTCTTAATTTCCTCTCACTGAGAGATTACAGGCTTCAGTTCCACAAGTGTTCATTCAAACAAGCATTTAAGCCCTTGTGATAAAACAGGTGCTGTAGATAATAAAGGAAAACCAGTCCCTGCCCTCATAGAGTTTAGGAGAAATACAAAATATACACAAGTAGGGATAGGGTCTAAGGCATTATTTCATTAGTATTGCAGAAAATGCTTCTATCAATATAGGCTGGCACCTTCTCTGCAGCTTATAGAGCTAGAGACTGCTGAGAGCTCTGAAAGGTAAACTTGCCCAGGGACTCACAGTCAGTATGTAGCAGAGGCGGGATCTGAGCCAAGGAACAT